ATTATAGAAAATGTTACGTATTGTTAAGGCGTTGTAGGAGAGTGCTGAGTATCAGTGTTACTGTAAGTAAAAGTATCTAACCCTCTCCAGGGCATATTTGAACTCGGACTTCGCCCAGAAAGCACATGCGTTACTTATGGCTTGGTAGTCATGTGTTAGGTAGTAGCAGGAGCGCCAGCTCCCCCCCCCCCCCGCCATTGCACATGCGTTACTTAAGGCTTGGTAGTAATGTGTTAGGTAGTAGTAGGAGCGCCCCACCCCCCTCCGCCATCCGAGAGCTCACGAGTTACGCAAATGGGTCCAGTTTATATTAATATGATATGCCATAATTGGAATTTATGGGACAGTAGACTTTTTCCTAGTCTAAATAGAGGGGCGCCCGAAGAGGGATTTTCAGAGATAGAGGGTCCATGCAATTGTATGACTATGGCACCCGTGATGGCCGGAAATGGCACTCTTAGATTGAATTTGAATACATTCTTCCTTTCTTTCTCTATTTTTGTTATTGGAGGGTTGGGGTGGTGGGGAGAGAGCCTTGAATTCGCCACTGGAAAACGAGACGACTTTAAATATTGCAACGAAAATATAATCGACTTTTTTGTAGAAAATACTTTCAACCTTTGAAATATATATTTGATAAACTTAAATTTGCATTTTTTCCGGTCTCTGTGGTTACCAGTGGCGTATCCAGAATTTAAGGAATGGGGGCTTATGAAATGAAAGTCCACACCACGTCAGTGCCATCTTGGTTGGCGGTGACGGTGAAGTAGTTTGTACTTCTGGATGCCCGGAAGCTAATGAAATTTCCAAAAACTACCATATTCACCTGAGCGTGTACTGCAAATTCTATTTCTATGTGAGTTTGCGTCAGGAAAATATCGTGGAGTGATGTTTTGCCCTACCTGAAGTGTTTTCGTATCAAATACTCAGTACGTTCCCAAATACTTGCGGGAAAAAATCGGAAGTGATTCGAACCCACGACCTCCAGATAACTAGCCTTGCGCCATAACTACAGTAACAGTAGCACGTGTGACTATGTTGGCCTAATACACTCTACAGCAGTACTGTTAGTCCTAATAGTATTCTATATTTAAAAAGTGTGTGTAAAATTTTTAAAAAAACACAAAAAAACAAAAAAAAACAAACAAAAAAGCCTGGTCAATATTTTCTGGTTCTTATGAAATAAAAGTGTATATACCGGATATATATAAGCCTCATATAACATAAATCCAAATATGAGAATAAGGCAGCCTAAAAAAAGCATTACATATTTGGCTCATCACAGCACAATGCACACTAGAAATTCATTTTCTGAACGAAGCAATGCAACTTCTAGAAAAGACGCTTACAATATATATCCATAAACGTAACCCCCATAAGATGCAGCTGTCTTTATGGTACAAATGTTATTTAGTCAAGTAATAATAAATTGTATTATATATATATATATATATACATAATATATATATATATATACATATATATATATATATATATATATATATATATCATTATTACATTAATGTCATACATTGATAGTGTAGTACATGTTTAATTTGGTTGTTTTTAGATAATAAACAATGCTTTGAAAATGATAATAATACTCTGCAATGAAGGCAAATAAGGTTTGTGTTACCATAGAGAAAATTCTTTATGGTGTTAACGATCTAGGCAGCTACGTCAATTGGCCAATGTTTTAGGTCTAGTATGAATAGATACTTGGGTGAAAAGCATATCTATGATATTTGTTTAATTTTTTAGCCTTCGTTGTCATGGCAACGCAGGGGTGGCGCCAGAGGGGGTTGGGGCTATAGCCCCCCGTCGGGGAAGCATAGCCCCCTGTCGGGGAAGACGATAAATTTTGTCGGGGAACGAACAAATAAAAAAAATTATTTACATGTAATATTTGTTTATATTAATATGATATGCCATAATTGGAATTTATGGGACAGTACATGAAGCACCACACCGTTTCTGATATATAAACTGCAATACATTATTCAGCATCGGAAGAGCTTTCCAACGATACCAAACACGACTTTTTGGTGAGCTTATATACTTATTCTTATTTTATACACATTTTAAGTATATTTTGCGGATATTTTAAAACAAATAAACACCTATTTTTGAATTATGTTCCATTCTGGCATGAGTGACAGTAGTTTTTAAATGTCTGATTTGTTGCCTGTATATAAATAATGATTTTAGACACCAACATCATATCTGTAGCTTATTTAGTTCCAATTATATGCACATTTTAGATAAATTTGGCGGCCATTTTGAAAATGGTACCGTATTTCTTAACGTCTGTGTATCTCTAACTGATGTACTTTATTTGTTCTGATGGATTCTATTTTTCTAATTTTTTTTTCAAAAAAAGCAAATAAATAACAGTGAAGTACAGCATATATTTTATTTTTAAAAGGGATGGTCTATTCATGGAATATGTTAGTGTTCCTTTGTCCCATTAGCAGATAGTAATGATAATGGTGATTAAAATAATAATAATAACTAGTAATGATAAGTTATAATATTAAGTAATTGTAATATTAAGTCTTAAAATGCAATGGCGATATAGGCCTGATTGTTAATTCTAAAATATCATAAGAAAAACAACCAAATATATCAAATATTAAGGCTTCAGTCTAGCAATGAAATGAAAAACAATAAGCAAATTAATATTACAATTAATTGATTA